ATAATGTAGTTTTTCCCAGCACTTTCCATAGTAGTAGCGGTAGAGCAGAGAGGGGCTTGCCACACCCCGCTTGTGGAAAAGGAGTTGAAGGGTGGAGAATAATTCGTCAACCACAAGGGCTCAGAGACGCTTTTGAACTCAAGGCTGAAGAGTGAGGTTTTGATATCTCCTGCTCAGATAAGACAGCAGTATCCCAATTTTGTTCTGGCTCTTATAAAGTTAGAGGATAGCAGGAGTAGTCGGGGACTTACAGGAGCGATACAGCGCGCCGACAATTTCCTCTTAGAGTTGATGCAACCACTACTGATTTTTGTATAGTAAAACGACATAAAAAAAGAACTGTCCTTCGTTGATGCAGGCGATTAAGTAGTACCGACGCCAGAGACGCCAGAGAACGCAACAAAACGGAAAGCAGAAGGGTATACAACGGATGAAAAGCGTAAAAATCTTTCAGAGAAAACCCATTGATTTCCGAGACTGACAGATGCCTAAAGATGTCATTGATGGCCGAGGTTCTTCTTCTCTTTTGTTTTTAATCGTTTCCCGCCAATTAAGGCGGGATTGCCACTAGTGCGCAGTAGGTTACGAGGAATAAAAGTGAAGGAGTAGATTGAGGATTGGGAGGATTGAGGTAAGGACAAAAAAATAAAAGGGGTTAAAGTAGACAAAAAATGGCGATTGACATCGCATTTAAATTTTTGGTGTGTGTAGTCATCAGGGAAGCTAGGAAATCAAATGGTGTCCCAGGGAGGATTGAGGTAAGGACAAAAGATGAACGTGGTTAAAGAAGACAGAAGATGGTGATTGACGTCGCATTTAAATTTTTTGGTGAGTGTAGTCACCAGGGAAACCAGGAAACGGAATGGTGCTCCACAGGTGTAGTAACATTATATTGAGCTTATGTTGTATTTGTCGGTATAGAGAGATTATTATATATAATTTTTCTTGAAAAATATTTTCTTTCATTGCACTGAAAGCATACAGCATTTTCATTTACCATTAGATATTTACATCGACTGGATGATCGATTTCATGCCTAACTCAAAAATGATATCCATGTTTTAGAATTATCATTATTGTTTGGAAATTTTTGTTATCATCTTTATTATTTGTCTTTCCAATCAGACAATATCCTCATCATGGGTATTAGACTCACAGGGCTTCAATTGTATCCTCTGACCTTCTTCAGGTGTCATACGCGATATCAGCGAAACATGGAAACTAGAATGAGAAGGCTCTACCCACATGCGTTAAACAGTTTTGTTCAAAATTCCGAGACGGTTATCGCGTACGGCAATACCTGGAGAAGGCCGGAGGGTAAAACTGCCGAATCGTTGAGCGTATAAATTGAAAAGATAAGCACAATAGTACGAATGGAAATTATTAAAATATAAGTATTTATCTCAAAGAGTAAATTACATACCAGGAATTAGCTATGTAAATAAGAAAAATAATTCTGGAAAATAGGTACATATTCATTCACATATCGACGTTGAAGCAAGTCCTCATGTTATCATAATAACGAAATAGCTTATGACTAAAGTGGGGGGCAAACTGTCGTCTAAATTATATCAAACTGAAAATATCACTGATACCTCATTTTAACATATATATTTACCACAACTATACAAAAATATCTTGAAATGCTAAAGAGTAAATCCATTCAATAAAATCAACATTGGGTCTGCTCAGCTATCACCATCTTTACGCAAGGCAGCACTACCTCCTCAAGGCAGTTGATGTAAGCCACAGTGTTGAGTTTGAGGCCCTGACGAAGTTCTTTTCTTATTAGAATGGTCAGAATGAGTTTTACGTGCTGTCGTTTCTTCGTAATCACCATTGGACTCATCCAACTTTTTTCCGAATCCTCTGCGCTGTCCTCAGATTAACACACAAACCCTCTGAAATATTCGGATTGTAGCTTTCGGCGCGAATGCCATGCAGTACAGCATGTTGTTTCCAAATTTCTGGCGAAGCGTATTGCGTCATGATGCTCTTTCTCTCGCAGATGGTGCCCAACTGACCCTTTCTATGCTGTGCAGTCGACAAAATCAAAAACAAACAACGCGCGCGCAGCAACTTATAAATATAATATGGCGACAATTTACCCATCGCACCCTGTATACTATGTAAAATAAACCGTTAAAAATTCTAAATAAAAAAATAAAAATAAAAATTTTAAATGATCAGAAGAAGAAATAACTTCTGTCGTGAAAAATAAGGAAATATATAGGAAATAAAAGTTCAAAGTTTAGGTGGATGAGTTCTAAAAATAGCAAGAGTGAACCTGGCTTCATATGGTGAAGAAATGTCATTATTTTTAAAGAACTGTCTAACATGCTGACACATGTGCCAAATTAAAAATATAAAATGGCGGCAATTTAGCTACTGCACCCTGTATATATTTTTATGCTAATGGTCACTAGATACTAGGTCTAATAATAGCCACTAAAGTTAGATGATTACTGCGCAGTATTGAATCAGCGTGAGAAAAGACAGTAAATGAAGTTCATGGAGTTATACATGAAAGATAAAGGATAACCATAGACTTGAAGAGGTCAAGATTGTAGTGATTGGCAAAACTCCTTTCTCGGAGCCTGTTCTACAATGTAGTACTTATTAGGAAGAAGCTGTCCAAGTGGAACTTACTTCTTAGTAATGGGATACAAAGGCAATGACAATGATTCATCATCGTGTATGCGGCATGAAGGGTCCCAGGAGTAAAGGTCAAATATAAAATGGCGACAATTTAATCGCTGCACCCTGTATATATTTTTATGCTAATGTTCACCGGTTACAAGGTCCATAAGCCACTAAAGTGAGATGATTACTGCGCAGTATTGTATGAGCGCGCAAAAAGGCAATAAAATCATCTCTTCTACTCCAACAGCTTTTTATCTCGCACTTCTTGTCAATGGAATTCGCTTCCTATCACTTGCTTCCCTAAAAGTTATAGTCTTCAAATATTCAAATGTAATGTCAATCGACATCTCCTGATGCCTTGAAAATATAGAAGGCCGACAAATTACGCATCGCACCCTTTATACTACGTAAAATAAACCGTTAACAATTCTAAATAATACAAGACTTAAATAAAAAAATATGATCAGAAGAAGTAATTTCTGTTGTGAAAAATAAATAAATAAATAGGAAATAAAATGTCAAAGTTTAGGTGGATAAGTTCTAAAAATAGCAATAGTGAACCTGGCTTCATATGGTGAAGAAATGTCATTATTTTTAAAGAACTGTCTAACATGCTGACACATGTGCCAACTTAGAAATATAAAATGGCGGCAATTTAGCTGCTGCACCTTGCATATATTTTTATGCTAATGGTCACCAGATACTAGGTCTAATAATAGCCACTAAAGTTAGATGATTACTGCGCAGTATTGAATCAGCGTGAGAAAAGACAGTAAATGAAGTTCATGGAGTTATACATGAAAAGATAAAGGATAACCATAGACTTGAAGAGGTCAAGATTGTAGTGATTAGCAAAACTCCTTTCTCGGAGCCTGTTCTACAAAGTAGTACTTATTAGGAAGAAGCTGTCCAAGTGGAACTTACTTCTTAGTAATGGGATACAAAGACAATGACAATGATTCATCATCGTGTATGCGGCATGAAGGGTCCCAGGAGTAAAGGTCAGGGCTGGTGGGACTAAGTATTGTAATTCGTCAGAACACGTGACATAGCGATAGAGCAGTTAGACGCACGCAGCGTTTTGTCTGCGTGAATGGGTTTGTAGGGTGGAATATAATTAATTACCCATAATTCGCGTAGGCTCTTTTTGAAGTCTATGCAGGCAAGTGAAGATTATATAGCTCCAGCCAAGATATGGTAGCCATACTCAATTTTTGATCTGATATCTTTCTTCTAAAAATAGATTATAGCGTGGTGGGGTCAGATACTTAGTGGAGCGGTAAAGGGAACAATACAAGTGTATATCTGGAGAAATTAATTTCTATTATTTACTTAGCTCAGTACGAGACAAAGGAAAAATAGGTCGGTGAGAATGTACCTGGCTTATTTTCTATAGTGTAGGAGTGTCTGTTTATTTGCCTAGAAATTCGGCATTCGCACTATTCACTTTAACTTGGACACGGCCATGGCTGTAATTACGCATCTAGCTTAGTCACAAGCGGGCTCAAAGATGTATATTTGATTTACTGCTTGAAATGAAGTTAATTTTTTTTTCTGTTTAATTAATAAAAAATAGCATGGCGTGTTTAAGATGTCTAGATTACATTGCACACATCTGAGTGAAGGGAGAGGTTTGTATCTCTGTAGTATGTCACCTGTTTACACTGGATTTTAGTAAGTGAAAAAATTCTATTATATGCCAAATATGACGAAATTTTAAAAAAATCTGAAAGAAATAAACTTTTAAATCTAAGTAGCGATGTCAGTTAGTTTTAAATTCGACGTTTGTCTTCTTTTTTTATTTTGTTAAGTAATTTCGAATGTTGACCAATTATTGGATTGCTTTATTTCTGTGTATAAATTACTATTCAAGTTACTTAAATCAGTTGTTTCATGTTTTTATGCTTGGATCTAAAAGAAGGAAAATGTAACTAAACTAGTAGATTTGCTAGAATTATTATGGAATATTTTTAATAATTATTTTAGTTCAAATTTATGTATTCGTTTTTTTTAAGCTGTTTAGTTAGACATCAGGATCAGAGTTGCATACTACTTACTCAAATTTTAATATAGTTACTTAGAAACGAGCTACTAGGTAACTATCGTAGACAAATCGATAAGTTGGTACACCTGTCAGAATTCATCACCCAAGAAGTTAAAATCACATCAGAAGTTATTGATTTTTTCCGATCGTGTCTAATTGCCCAGTATATCTCTTTTAATTGCAGTATCTTATCATGAATTGAGCAATGATGGCCCTCCACTACTTTCTTTCATTTGTACCTCTTAGAAATGTTTTATTTACTATCACCCATGTCCTGGTTTTGTCCTCCATTTACAAAAGCTACTTTGGTAGCTTACTCGTTGTAGGTGAAAGTAAGAGCAAAGAGAGAGGGGTTACAGCGAATGAAAGTAAGAGCAAAGAGAGAGGGGTTACAGCAAGTGAAAGTAAGAGCAAAGAGAGAGGGGTTACAGCAAGTGAAAGTAAGAGCAAAGAGAGAGGGGTTACAGCGAGTGAAAGTAAGAGCAAAGAGAGAGGGGTTACAGCAAGTGAAAGTAAGAGCAAAGAGAGAGGGGTTACAGCAAGTGAAAGTAAGAGCAAAGAGAGGGGTTACAGCGAGTGAAAGTAAGAGCAAAAGAGAGGGGTTACAGCAAGTGAAAGTAAGAGCAAAGAGAGAGGGGTTACAGCGAGTGAAAGTAAGAGCAAAGAGAGATGAGTTACAGCGAGTGAAAGTAAGAGCAAAGAGAGAGGAGTTACAGCGAGTGAAAGTAAGAGCAAAGAGGGTTGTTTGAGGAAAGGATAAAAAAAATGGACGGGGATCAAGATCAAACATCAGAAGATGTCGATTGACATTACATTTGAATATTTGGAGATTATAGTTATCAGAGAAGCATGTTAAAGGGAATTCTACTTTCGAGAACTGCGAGAGAAGATGTTGGCTTAGAAATGGCGGTTACATTTAACTGTTTCGACAATAAATGGCTGGAACCGAGACGCCAACCTAGTAGCACGCTTAAATTCATGCAGTTTGGTCAGAGCAGTTGCCATGAAAATATTTGTAGAAAAGACAGAGGGAAGCCACATCACGTCTGTGAAAAAGTGACTGGAGTCGAGAGGTCAGGTCAAGACCTATCACATTGCATATCCGTCTCTGGATTTTGTCGAGAACTAAGAGATGAACAGGCACCAGACCATATATGGCAACAGTATTCAATGCAGATTTGTAGATTTGAAGGATGGACTCAGACGAAAAAAAACTTCTGGCGCGACACAGAGAACCAACTTTCCTTGCAGTAGATGAAGCTATTGATTCAATGTAGTTTTTCCACCTCAGGTCAGTGGTAAACGTTAGACCAAGAAGGCGCGAGGAGACGCTTTCTATCTGTGGTATTCTCAGTATCCTTCTGTAAAACTGATATTTCTGTTGCCTCAAATCGCACAGTGGTCACAGAATGTACAAAATTAATAAGTGCTGCACTGAATGAAAGCAGCAAAAAGACGAAAGGAAAACAAGTTTTATTAATACTGTCTACTCTTATTCATATTTAAACTCAACAACTTGCTTTTCAGTGATATAAGTATATCAGCCGCTAAATACTGATAGACGCAAGTTACATTCAAATCTATCAAGCGTTTAACTTTTATTTATTTTTATTGCCTATTTCATAAAAAAATCCATATCTAAATATAGCTCGTAAACTATTTTGTCATCAATGTTAGTGTATTACTAGGGATTGTAGTCACCTATTCCGTAAGCGAGTTGATATGTTGGAAAAACTGTGATAATATAAAGATTAACATCATTAGTGTCATATAGGAAGAAAATGAGTAACTAGCCACACCGTGATACTCTGGACTTATAAATATATGTTTTCTGCCATGTGTATAAATAGAGGTGTCAGGCTACTGACTACAGTGATTATTGAATGGAACTATCCAGTCGAATTAGTGTGAATTACTGTGCGTCGATGATTTGGGTTTTGATTTAGGATTTACCGGACGTTAAGCCGAGCCGCGCTGCTAACAAGGTATTCATTGAAATGGTTAATTGTTTTTGGTTGACTTTTACGTCTTTGTTATTGTTAAGTATTTATTTGCGGTTGTAATTAAAAACTGTTTTATCTTAACACTGAATTCTTGAGTTATATTTAATTATTAACAGCCACCGTACGTCACAAAAATTAGGCAGAAGCATATCCTGTTTTTACACTACTGTTCACCCAATGTAAAACAACCCGAGAGCCACTCAAGGTAGAGGAAATAACTGTTAACCCTAGGCTTGAAGAGTTTAAATTTGTAGCGATTGGGATAACAGCCTCTCGGTAGTCTGGTCCACAAACTAGCGTTTCTTTGGAACAAGATGAGTGAAACTTCTTACTTATTAATGCAATACGAAGGGAATAAGGATGATTTATCCTCGTATACATGGCATAATGAATCTTAGTTGTGAAGGTCAGAACTGATAGATCTAACGAGCGTAAGTCATCAGAACCTTTGCCATGGAAACTGCGATAAATTAGCGAGATTGTTGTGACGTATCGTCTGAGGGAAAGTGGTTGTAGGGTGGAAAATAATTCATCACCCACAAGGCGGTGAAGAAGCGTTTGAATTCTTTGAAAACTAGTATGTGAAGATCGGTCTGCTCTAACCCAGATATATATCATCAATACTCCATATTTCAGTATTTCTTAGCCTTTTTACGCGACGGCACGCCTAGGAGCACATAAAACTATCACAACACACTTATTTTCCCGCTATTTTTTCAATGTGTGGTCGATGTGCAGAACTTCATTTCTTCCTTAGCTGAGTGTCGTCTTTCTCGCTTTTTATCTTTTATGTTATTTTGGGTTTGAGAAGCCTAATTCACATAAATAAGAAGTAGACATTTGCAATAAAACTGATAAAGCCTTTTTAGATAAAGTGGGATAACCTTTTTTGTATTGGAATCTAAAATATATGAATGAGTAGCGTCGAATGTTTTATTTTGAGCCCTCCATCACTAGAAATGGCGGCCATTTCTTTTTCATATAACTGAAGTCCAGTATTAGCAGGAATATTTATGAAGGGATTTCGAATCCAATCATATTTTCGCGGCACATTTAAAAGAATCTCGCGTCGGTTGAGAATAACTGCCATCACTGTGAAAGTCTATAAGAGCAAGGGGACAAAGAGCTGCAAATGCTCAGTCGATATTCTTTACAGCATTGTTTTCAAAAAGAGAGATTTAACAGAATGACAATTTATTCCCTGGTATTAACGCAGCGTACCGTTTTGTTCCGGGCATGTTCCAGCTTCGACTTTTTGCGACCCAGGCAAGATGGAGAATTTTACGGTGTGCCGTTGAGGAAGTTGAATGTGTTCATGTTATACTGTTGGCATGTTCAATACAATTCACTGATATCCCTAATGTCCGTAACCAATTGACAACATTTGCCGGGTGTGCGGGTAGTTCAGCGGCTCGGAAAGAGAAACCAGCGACCCGAGTTTGAATTTCGGCTGAGTTTCTTTACTTTGACTTTCGCACAATTACCACTGAGAAAAGGTTTGAATCCATATCCGTTTCGCCAATTATGGGCTAAATAGCAAAAGTAAACATTGCTTTCTGGCCTCATCGGAAACGAGTGTGGTGGAAGATAAAGTTTGGAATTAAAAAAAATGTATGTAGTTTTGGGGAGAAGTTCATTATATAATGAAAAATATTTAGAAAATCACAATGAACTGCGGTGTGGGTTTGGGGACGCAATGATCTCTAAAATTTCCGGGAACGAGTTGCAAGAATATTTGAAGCAATGGCAGCATGTTCTCACAAAGCCTTCATAGCAGGAGTCTTTTTATTGGCGATAGCAATCAATAATGGGCAGGTAAGAAAAATCTTTTCGCAAACTATCAACTTGCATTGCGTTGACTGTATGAAAGATCATGAAAAATCGTTGATAATTGATATCAAACAACAAAGGATTTTTTAGATACGTGAGAAAATCTTGACCAGAGCAACAGAGCATCTGTAGTTTATAAATACAGAAAAATTTAACAGCTTGCAATCGGATCTTATTGAATACACAAAAATAAAAAATAGGTCAAGAATATAATGGGGCAGAACAAAAGTATATAGCGTATTGTAAGTAATTTTCAAATATAATATATATATATATATATATATATATATATATATATATATATATATATATATATATATATATATATATATAAATTGAACCCATATATATATATATATATATAATAAATTGAACCCATTTTAAATGTGAATTAAATTTAAGCGTCCAATGATTTTTTTTTTCTTTTTCTTTCAGATTTAACAACTTAAGAGTTTGGCAATTTTTAACCATGGAAAGATTAACAATCAAACAACGTGTTAAAGTTATCGAAGCCTATTACGAAAATGGACGTTCAAACAGAAATACATTTCACGCACTTCGGGATTTGTTTGGTCAACATAATCGACCAACCAAGAATGCAGTTGTCTACCAAGCCAGACGAGACTATGCCCTTCGGAATAGACTTGTCTGGGTTCCTCTCTACACAAAGGCAGAGAGTTCGACTAGCTTAGCTGGAGATGAATCACTAACTAATTGCCAAATCAAAGCTCCCAGGTATCTATTCATTTTGTAAAAATACAAAATTGTGGCACAAAGCCAAAAGGGGGCGTGGGGGAAGGCTGATCTTTCACTAGCTATCTTATTCCTAGTTAACCATAATCACGAACCATTCATTCATTACAATTACACATTCACCACAAGAACTCATCCATCACCTTTCAATCCTGCACATAGCACAATACCACATATTCACAAGGGTCCTACAAAACACCCCATGAATTAAAAAAAATGTAATGTTCTTGTATATATATATATATATATATATATATATATACATATAAATATATATATATATATATATATATATAAATATATATATATATATATAAATATATATATATAATATATATATATATATATATATATATATATACATATAAATATATATATACATATAAATATATATATATATACATATAAATAAAATATATATATACATATAAATAAATATATATATATACATATAAATATATATATATATATATATATATATATATATATATATATATATATATATATATATATATATATATATATAATTTTTTAAATTTTCAACTATGAGTAAATAGTGAAACCACCTCACTGAGGTGAAATCTCGATTAATTTAGCATAGTTTTTTCTCCCTCTTGTGCTATTAGACGTCGCGGGGCGACACAGTCGGATGTCAACGTTAAAGCGAGTCGCCTGGAGGAAAGATATCTGGCGCGCTCTGACGGTATCTGCCACTGAGTCGCTCCAGCGTCTTCTTGGTTTGCTTCTCACTCTCCAGCCAGAGTAGCTGAGGGTGTATCCTCGTAGGGCTGGTTGGTTGATAGGCATACAAGTGAGATGTACGAACCACTTGATCCTCTGCCGTTCGATGTGTTGTATGATTGCTATTGCTCCTACCGTATCTCTTATTGCCTCATTCCTGATCTTGTCTCACCTAGTCTTGTTCCCTGCTTTTCTCAGACATTTCATCTCACAAGTGATCAGTTTCCTCTCAAGGGTTTTTGTTAGGGGCCATGCCTCCCAAAGCCCAAACTTTGTCCTCTTCGTTGGAGGTGAAAACAGATAATAACGGAGTATTGGTGAAGCTGTGACTAGCTTAGCAGGCCGACAGTCGATAAAATTTGTTCAAGGAAACAAAAGGAAAACTCAATGAAAGTATAATATTTTTTATAGTAAAAATACTAGCAATAGGTTTTGGAAAAAAAATATATATCAGCAATGCATT